ATTCTTTCATCAAAGTTTTTAATCACTTTTTGGCAAAATGGCGGGTCTATTTCGTTAATCACGTCACGGATTTTGAGTTTTAAGGCCGCGATCGATTCGATTGGCTCCGTATAGACTCTGTCCTTAACATAGCCCCACAAAAAATAATCCAGTGGTGTTAAATCACACGATCTGGCTGGCCATTTAACAGCTGAATTTCGTGAAATTATGCGATCGGGAAATTTGGTTTGCAATAAATTAATCGTTTCGTTGGCTGTGTGACATGTAGCACCGTCCTGTTGAAATCACATGTTTGTAATATCGATGTCATCAATAATAGGCCAAAATTGAGATGTTAACATCTCGCGATAGCGTGATCCATTGACCGTTACTGCATTTCCAGCCTCATCTTCGAAATCAAAACGGCCCGATCACGCCTCCAGACCACATAGTGTACCATACAGTGACACGTTGAGCATGCAATGGCTTCTCAATAATCGCTTTAGGAATTTCAGAAGCCCAAATGCGGCAATTTTGCTTGTTGACGTACCCTGACAAGTAAAAAGGGGCTTCGTCTGAAAAAATGATTTTTTCAGAAAAACCAGCAGCCTGTTCCTTAATGAATTGAGCGAATCTACGGCGATATGAACGGTCACACACACTCACGGCTGCGATGTTTTCGGTTGAACGACCCGGTCGAACACGCGTTGGTGTTGGCACATTTTGTACGAGCTTGTCGATTCAAATTTAGCGACCAAATTCTTAATAGCGGTCTCAGAAGAACGATTATGTTGTCCGAAAATATCACGAATTTTACGAAACGTAACTTTAACAGAACCATCATTTTCATAGTGGATTTTAATTAATTTAATGCGATTTTCGAGCGAAATTGAATTCATTGTAGCAATTGCCAAAGCATCTACTACGAATAGGTCAAAAAACTAAATGTAAAAACTGTCATGTTGTTGGTGTTGCCCCAATTGAAAAACAAAGTTCTTGTTGAAAAACCCTATAACACTTGAACAGAATTATTTTATGTTTTATAGTCTTTACATTGCCTGTAATTATCGTGAATGAAAATTATTTTATTTACTCTTTTTGGACTTTACTTACTCTTGATCGCCTTGCAGAAAGTACCATTCCAGCTTCCGAAAATACTCTCTCACGCGGGGTGTTGGTAGCGGGTATACAGAGCAAAGCCCTGGCAAATGTAGAGCCTAGGAAAATCAATTTGCTTTTCCTTCCAAAATGATAAAAGATCATCATTTATCATCGCTTTTGATCCAGCATCCGAAGCGAGGTATCACCAACACTCTTGGTTTAGTCAAGTCTAGTGGGTTATTTTTAATTACTGCGCCAGCGCTTTGTTTCCTTGAAAGATTACACAAGATTAATTGAATGCGCTGATGTTTTCCTTTGCTTCATATGTTATCCAACTTTAAAGTCATCCAACTTGCAAATCATCCAACTTTATAATTTCTTCCAAATAAGAATCAAGAAATGATGACTACGTCAAATTTTATGTCTCCATATAAAAGTCTAACTCTTTGAGCCCCATAAACCGCTTGTCCAAAAGAGCTGCAGCTACTACTGGTTTAGTAATGGGAAATCTCTCATCAATACTCGCCAATATGTTGTGTTTTAAACAAAACACAATCAACGATTCTTCGTCTAGTGAATTAAGAACATCAATAATTTCCCAGCGAAGTACAAGGGCAACATTCATAGTGCAGGACTTTTGAGTTGACATAATTTCGACTGCTTTCCGGAATCGCTTTAAAAACAGTACTTAATCTTGGACCATGGAATGCAACTCTAACGAGTAAGCACTTTTTATTCGTCTATTTACTAGATAAATTAATGAAACAAATTATTAAGTAATACCTACTTTGTTTTATAGTGCACCATATAAATCACTTTTTTTACCTAACTTTAATCACTATTTATTAAGCTCTTCCAAATGGTTTTGCAGGGAACACGGTTCCCAACTAGGCCAAAATTGTACATCAGTCGTTAAACTTAAAAATAGTGTTGTAACATTAAATACACTCGGCGTCAAAAAAATCGCACATCCGAAAAAAATAATTTAAATACTATTTTAACACAACAGGCCAATGGCAATGTTTTGTTTTGAGGGTATCATTCGAAAGGTAATTTCATTAGCTTTCAGGAATTTTAATTGAATTTTACTTTTATAACGAGACGAAAGAGAAATTAAAGAAAAAGACGAAAGATAAATTAAAGAAAAGGGTATGTAAAAATTTGCAAATTAATAATTTAAAAAAAACTTAATAAATACAAAAAAAGTTCTTAAAACCTAGTGTTACCCCCCCCCCCCCCCCTTGCCTTGATAACGGCTTCCATGCGATCTTTCATGGACCTTACAAGGGTATTTGTTCAGCAGCCGCTTGGGGTATTTGTTCCCACTCTTCAAGTACCGCATCTTGGAGTTCTTGAAGAGTGGTTGGAGCTGGATCTCAAGCTCGCACGCGCCGTTTTAGGTCATCCCAGAGATGTTCTATTGGGTTAAGGTCTGGACTTCGTGCTGGCCAATGTATAACAGGGATATCGACCTAGTGATGAACATTAAAAAAAACATCGATGTTTTTTTCGATTGAATGCATCGGATTGTTGCATCGATGTAATATCGATTTATCAAAAAATACATCGATGTTTTCTATACATCGATTGTTTTTCTATAAGTTAAATATGCATGTGGTTTAGAAATAAAAAGCAAGCATCTATTAAAATATCTTTATTACCTTTACATTTATTTTTAATATATATCCCAATAATTTTTATGTATACTTTGTAAAAACAAAATTTTACCCAAACTTTATCCCCTTAATCTATTCCTTTGTTGAGTTTTTTACCTGCGCCGCTTGCGAAAACACTCTCTCTGATGGCACTGATGTGCCCACCATTGTTAGATATTTAAAGGCAATTTTATGCAATATTGGAAACTGTAGTTTGTAATCTTTCCAAATTTCTAGAAGATCGTCGTTAAGTCTTCCAACAAGACTTGTCAGATAAACTGAAAGTTCATCCGACAAGCTATCTTCAGATTTATTACCCTTCCAATTGCGATGTACCAGTTTGTAATGATCACTCCATAATGAAAATGTCTCTTCACTTTTATCAGACTTATCCGAGTCTGACTCGATTTCTTCAATTTGATGCAAATTAATCTTCATTAAATCTTTGATTTTTGATACGGCATTGCTACAAGCTATTGCATCGTTAAAGTGATTTTTTTTAAAACGTGGGTCTAAAATGTTTGCTATAGCAAGAGGAGTTACATGTTCAATGGAACCCATTCTTTTCGTAATTTCTTGCAGAGCCAGTTTTTGCACTTCTCGTGCCACAGGTTCTCCTGCGACACCTGCTGAAGTAAATTTGGAAAATATGCAGCGGACTAAAGGTATAATTTTGCTGGTTGTGCAATATTTATCTGCAGAAATTTCTTTTGTGGCTACCTCCAAAGGTCGCAATATCAGAAGGACGGATGAGGCAATGGATGTTTCTGAACTGCTGAGCATTGGGGGTGCGGTGGTGTGTCGAAAAATAATATCATTTACGACACTCCGCAGTTCTAAAAATCTTTGTACCATGTAGTAAGTACTATTCCAGCGCGTCGGTACGCTTTATATAAGTTTAGTCTCAGTAGAAGTAGCTTTGCGCAATTCGTCACTAGCAACGCAAGTTTGTTTGAACCTGGTCACAATTGCTTTAATTTTAGTAACAATTTTTTGCCACTCAGTACATGCCATTGTGCCCTCAGCCACCAAATTTAACGTATGAGCCAAACATGGAATGTGTTTCTTCGTACCAAACGCCCATTCTACAGCTTTTATCATATTGGCAGCATTATCGGTTACAACAGCCGTCACATTATCTTTTTTAATACCCCATTCTGCACAAGTTTTTAAAAGCATTTCAGAAATATATTGTGACGTATGTCTTTCATCGAGTTCGTACACGCCGAGAGTAACTGAAATGAGTTCAATTTTTATTCCAAAATGAACAGTTACGCCTATTAAACTTTTCATATTTAATGTATCAGACCAAATATCTGTCGTCAAGGTTAAGTCTTCTATCGAAGACAATTTCTTTTTAAAAGTTTCTGAAATAACCTCATATTTATTATCCAACCATCGCCTCAGACTTGTTCTACTTGGTATTTTATATTGAGGAGCAACTGCTTTCATAAGATTTTTTGAAACCTTCGTTCTCGACTATTGAGAAAGGCTGGTGATCTTTACAAATCATATATAACAAACAATTGTTAAGTTTTCTTGTTTTCATGCCGGATTCTGAATAAGAGGAGATTTCTTGAAAACTGGTCTTGATAGATTTTTACGTTTTGCAGGGATTACTTCCGAGTCAGAATCTAAAGCTTTATCCAACTTGTTTTGTTCTCGCATTAAAGCTATCTTTTGCTCTGCATTCCTGTTGGTCTCCGTACACAAAAAGTCAATAAAATCTATGTCAAAAGTCCTGTCAAAAATGTCTGTCGGTTCGGTTTGGTCCGTCAAATTAAAAGTCGGTCCAGATGTGAATGTTTCACGTCGTCCCTTAAAAGTGTCTCTGTCCTTATGTCTGGGCGCGATATCGCGTAATGCTGCATCATTAGCGACATCTTCCCTCTGTAACACTTCCTCTTGCAGTTCTGTTAGGTCACTGTTACATGTCGGTTCGTCTGTGGTAAAGTCAAAAAATGGGATAGCAGAATTGTCATTGTCAACGTCAACTTCTAACTTGTCCACTCGTCGTTACATACGTCTGCTAACCAGTTATCTACGTGAATGTAAGTCATGGTCGATGACACCTGGAACAACATAATACGACATAAATACTTTATGATATGCAGAAACGTATTTGATTAACGTACATTAGTGATTTTTGATCTGTATTATGCACTAGTATATTTTTTAATGTTATACATGTGCAACACCCGATGGCTTGCTCGTTATTATTATAGTTATTATTATTATTACTTATTACAAATTTTTTCTTATCTAATCCTTATCCGAAGAGGTCATCTGCTGGTAAGGTCTTTTAAGGGACGTCCTCAGCATGATATAGGGATTTGGAGAGGAAGGACTAGGAGAGCTATAAACCGAGACTGTTTCGGGGTCGGACATACCCCCCATTCCGTCTTCGGAGATTGACGATTCGTAAACTGTAACAAACGGACTTTTGTAGAACACATTTTTTTTTAAGTTTTATAATGATACCGAATTACCCATAACATACCATCTTCGATAGAAACATTTGCTCGGCAGGAAGAACGGGCCAACCCAGAAGTCGTGGCGGGTTCTATGGGAAAATGTTTTGAATAAGTCTTAATATAGCATATATTAAACAAGAACGTACGTAAAAATAGAATGTTGTGTAAATAAATATGACGCTTCAACCTCAGCTAGGTTAAGTTCTAAAACAAACAATTTATTTAGTACTAGCTGCTGCCCGCGCCTACGTCTGCGTAGAATAGGCTGAAGGCGTAACATTCAGACAGAAATATATATATACATATATATATAATGTCTTATTCTGATGTATAAGCTATATTATTGTAAAGTTTCATTAGAATCTATTTAGTAGTATTTGCGAGAAAGAGTAACAAACATCCATCCATACATACAAACTTTCGCGTTTATAATATTGGTAAGGATTAATGAAGTATGAACCACCTGTCTGAAATAAAAATCTTACCAGAAAAATCAGCTTCTCTGGACGTCGAGGCCACGACCTGAGTTGGCTTTACGGGGTTTAATTCTGCAACAAAAATGTTACGATATAGATTTTTTATGGATTTTGTTAGTTCATTAAACAACAAAATACTACTTGATTCTGAAATAATCATCTAACCGTCACATAGCTCGTCGACTGGTGCAACCATTACGCATTGCTGACGTTCTGGAGATGCCCGCCTGGAAAATTAATAACTTATTAATCAAGAATTAAGCAAATAATTATTATATTTGAAGCCAAGTTGACAGTTTCGACTTCAGAGAAGTGATTGGAAGAAACAAAAAAATACTTTGTTTGCCGTTTGCGAGGTGGCCCATCTGGCAACAGCATCCGCTCCAAATCCGAACGTCGCTTAAGCTCTAGTAGCTGTCGACGAGCTTCCGTAGATAGCGCTGCCATCCGTCGCGTGTCCGCCTTCCTCGCCAGTTTCATCTCGCGAAAAGAATCCGCCACTGCAAAAACTTTTTGGGCTGGATGAGCCACTGTTAGCCTGGCGCACGACGGGCGCCTAGCCTGAACCTCGGCGTACTATTATTACGCGTTATGGTGACTAAGCTCGAGGGCTCCCGGGGGAGCCTCGGCTCGGGCCGTCACGCTATTATTGTTACCGGTTTGGGAGGCCGCCAAGCTCTTAGGGCGCTTTGGCGGGCGCTCCATGGAGTGATCAGGCTCAAGGGTCCCCGAGAGGGGACCTCGGCTTGGGCTGTCACTCAGCACGCGTTTAGCATTCCGATTCGAGGGCGCCCGAGAGGGCCGGACCTCGGCTCGATCGGTAGCTATTATCTGACTGGGGGAATTACTAGAGCTAACATTACTACCACTTCGGAGAGCGTTGGCGCTGGGAGAAGAAGTGGCGGAAGAAACTCCAGCAACCTGCCAGGTACGTGGCGGAACCTAGTATATGTTTGCTGCACTCGCCGGGTTGGGATGCGCGGCGGCGGAATCGAAGTATGCGGCGCCATGGGGTTCTGCCACGCGGGGCGAAGAGGAGGGAATGAGGCGGCTTGGAATCGGCTGCCGTCTTGTTGCCTGAGGGGCGGGCCTAATGGGTCTGCGCTTAGGTGCGTTCGGGCAGCCAAGATAATTGGCTGTGTGTCCTTCCGACTGGCAGAGGACGCATGCGGGTGGACCGTAGTTGGCCAGAAGGGCCTTGTCCCTTGGTCTGGGACATTCCGGGGTGCCGTGGTCGCCTAGGCACTTTACGCACCTGGGCTTGGCAAAGCAGTTACGGAGCGGGCGGAGTGCCCGTAATTTTGGCATTTGTGGCACTGTCCCGGGAGGGTGGCCTTGTGTGGAGGTTCGATGACAATATTGGTCAGTCCCATGACTGACTCAATATTGAATATTGCTTTCCCCTCTGGAGAGAGGTCTAGATGGACCATGACCATGTCGATGGGGCTGCGCTTCCTTTTGCTTTTCATGCGGTGGACCGCATGAACGGGGAGGCTTTGCTCCTTAAGGGAGTCTAGCACCGTTTCGGTGGGAATGTTTGAGGGTATACGTCTAATGACGGCGCGTAGGATACGATCCTCGGCCAGCGTATAGGTGTGGTAGAACACCTGTTTATCCCTTAAAAATTTGGATACTTGACGGTGGGCGTCGGCAGTTTCAAGCTGAAGCTTGATGCCTTGTGCGGTTGTCGTGGCTACAAATTTTAGCCTGTTAGAGAGGGCGGAGCAGGGCGGGCAATCATCGGCCACTTTTCAGTGTCTCGAATGAAGAGAGGGGGTGGGCGCTTGTCCTGCGGCGCACGTGGGGCTGCGGGAGGCGCGGGGGTTGGTTGAGAAGCAACCGGGGTTGGTTTCGCTGAAGGCGGTGGTGTTGGGGGAGTGGGCCTTGAGGGCCCGGCTATGGCCGATTCGGTTGGCCTTGGCGCCTTGACTGGCGGAACGGGGGACGGAGCCGCTGAGGACGGCTGCGAAGAGCGCTTTTTGTTCTTTTTGTTCAAGCCGCCTTCATCGGCGTCGGGGGAGAGCGGCGAATCGAGCTCCATTTCCTCTTGCGAGGAGGAGGAGTTCGCTTCGGCGCTTTCGGAGGATGCCCTTGAGGAGGGCCTAGAGAGTCCCCGTAACACCTCAAGAGTGTCGGGGATAGCTTCCGGGAATTTTTCCCGGAGTAGACCGAGGATGGCCTTTACTTCGGCCATTTTTAAATTAATTGGGATGCCGGGGTGTGTGCCCGTATCCCTCCGGGTATAGGCAGGGAGGATGAGTGTCTAAATTGTGTGGCCCTAGTGCGTCCTCGTGCCGATCTTATTGTGCACGCGGGTGTGTACTTATAGCTAATTAAAACTACCCGAGGGCGCTAAAAGGCCAAACGTGGACCACCGCTGACTAGGGACTACACCCAAGGCCAGTGATGGTGGTCCCTTCCGAAGATTCGCGGTTCTCAGGAGGGAACCGCAAGGCGATCGGGGCAAGCCTTGGCTAGCTTCGTTAGCACCGTTAGGTATCCACTAGCCCTAAGACGTCGAAACAGAACCGCTGCTAAGCGCGTTGGTCGGCGCAGTCAAAACTGCACCTCGCAACTCGACTTGCGAGCGGGGTGCCCACTCGTAATAAAAATTACGAGTGAACGCGGCGCGTGGTGCGCGACGACTGAGCGTCCGCGGCGAACGAGTCGGCACGCGGAAGCGGACAGGGGTGGGGAGTAGCAAGAGTAGAGAGAGCGCGTGCCAAGGCGTGCGTTCGTCTCGACTGCTGCGAGCGGAATGACCCATATTTCATCCAGATCGACCCTTTTATACCCTTTTTAGGTGGTGTAACTAGCGTCCTTACTAACGAGCATTTGACAGTGTTTATTTTTGACGCTCTATAACGAACAATGTTTTAATGATTTCATGAATTTTTATTAATAATGTAAAGCTATTCAAATACCCATTTCAAGCATACCAATATTTATATAAATATAGTTCGTTTCTAGCCATTACAGCCATTTTTCGCGCAAACTTAGAGAGGTGCGATTTTCCTAAAACTACATAATAAGGTCTATCATTTAAGCGAAACATTAAATGCTCAATATATTTTTATCATCTATAAATAACTTAACGTATATGTGGCCATGTTCGGGAGAATATTTTGTTAAATGCAGCTTTATTTATAGTTTTCTTTTGAGATTTACACAGGTAGTTTAAAACTTCATCATCCCTGTAATGATCGATAAACAGATAGTGTTGTGAGAAATGAGCTCCAAGGCGGAAACTCGAGCTTAAAGACGTAAATGCTTAATGATGTACAACATTCTTCATATAGTTGTTTTTTTTTTTTTTTTTTGGAGAAAAAGTTTTATATTTTACTAATTTTTGGACCGATACGATAATTTCTTTGGCTTCTTCCATTCCTTTCTTTACTATCCGATTTAATACATGAGTCATATATCTTAAATGGACAATATCCTTAAAGAAAAGAAACTAAGTTAGCAGTTGAAGCGTTTTAATATTTGTTGCATCATTATCTGTTGTAATGGAATTTAATTTACATTGCAAGCCAAATTCCTGAACAATGTTTTTTACTTTCAAAACAATTTGCTCGTTTTTGTGAGGTAACGGTAAGAGATCAAATTTCAAAGTCATAGAAATCATCTCCCCATTATTAGTGGGCAGTTACAACTATGGTTTGTTAGTTATAGATGTCCAAAAATCAAATGTAAGATGGAAGATGTAATTTGAAATCTACTTGTTAAACGATACGTGTTATTAAGTGCTGATGAAATGATGCAAACTCCTATTCTTCTACTATTCGGAAAGAATGCTGGCCATGTATAATAAACTTTATCAAAAGGTCATTTATATCCATTTGTTGATTTTTATGTTTTAATAAGGACCCCTATGACGCCTTTTCGTTTTGTTCACTCTGTATAACATCAACATCACCATGACGTGATTGATGCCTTTACAAAATGGAGTGCGATGTTTAAATAGAAAATGTATGACGGTATACCTTGCACAACAATTTGTTGGTTTCTTTATTAAAATGACACCATTTCCAACTAATACGCGGCTTTTTCGACACCTTAGAAGATGATGAAGCATCATTTTCTGTAAGCGAAGTATCAGTAGTATCAAACTTGATGTCTTCCGATGTTACATTATCTTTCTCAATCATTTTGTAAATCTAACAAACTTTCACCAGTAAAAATAACGATAAAAACGTATTTTTATTTTTAAAAAACAGGCAAACTGCACATTGATTTTGACAGGAATGGCGTATACGAGTAATTATTACAATAATATTAATAGTAATGTGGGTAGTTCTAATAACTAGCGATAACACTGGATCAGCGCATTTAGTTTCCTCTATAGGACGAAGTACAATGTTGTAAAAAAATATGTTATTAACCAGTGAAGTTAATAAAAATACATTATTTTAATAACATATTCATTAGATTTATTTTGAAGCAAAATGTTGTGTAGTGCCTTTAAAACAGAGCTCGAGTCGCGACACAAGCCTCGAAACAAAGGCTCGAGACTGGGCTCGATCCTTCGCAATATGGCTCGAAGCTGAAGCTCGAACCTTCATAGGAGACTCGAGCCTTGAATGAGTCGAAGACTCTGGAGACTAGAGCCTTTTAACAACTCTAAAACAGACACATACCGGGTACTTTATCTTGTGCTAAATGTTGAATGAACTCTAGAAATAAGCTACTGGCCATGCTTACCTTTGGAAAACAGGTGGAAAATTTGATGCTAATTCTGATCTGTGCTTAATCCCCTTAAAAATAATCATGGGAGGTATAGTAATACGTACAGCATTTACGCGCATCGCTAATGTTACGTTCTCGGCCCGTACTGTACGTACTGGCCCACGCGTACAGGTTGTCGATCACGCCGCTATTTCGTGCACAAATCTCCCGTTGATTTTTCTTTTCTACTAGTACCAGATGAAGACTATCATGAGCTGTAATCGTTTCTTTCGATTCCTTTCTTTTGTTCCGAATTATTGTTACATGATCAAGATAACGTTCCGATAGATCACATGAAATACCACTCCCCAGGGTCGACTGCAGTGACATTTTGAACAAAGGCCACACACTTTTCATAGATAACTGGTACACATAATTTTACTTTTAACAAATTATATATTATTCAGTAGACATTTATTATAAGAGTACATAATAATATCCATTGATTCTTATATTTGGAAATAAAATACCCCTAACGTAAATTACCTGCTCTCTGTCAAAATCCATTAATTTTTTTTATGCATGTTTTCACGAACCAAGGTGATATGCGTGTTCTCCTGGGCCACACCGGTCATATTGCGTATAAGTTTTTCTTTATTATGGTACTACCTTGCTGGCACGGTTCTATGTCTATTTATCTAGAATTTAATAAAAAAAATGGATACCGTAAATGCATACAACATGTGACAGGTTTAAATTTCAATTCACGGTATAAGGTGTAATTCTTAATAATTATGGTTTGGAATTTTACT